TTTAACAGATGGTAAATATAAGTTATTACATTGCAATTCAACGATAAATCAAGAAAAAAAAAACAAACAATTAGATTTTAATTCTTACGAAGTTTCATTAAGTAAAGTAACCAATCGACCAATTTTATAATGCTTAACTTTCCCAATCTTATTGTAACTTAATTATTGAATCATTAAAAGCATAATTACGTTACTTTTTTTACTTTAAAACAGTTCATAAATTGCGCATTATACACGAGTAAATTATTTTATTTTTCATAATTAAAATTGAGTCATGTATACCGAAAATCACGTTAATTAAATGAAAATCAACGAAATCATACCAAAAATTAAAAAACGTAACATTATGAACCGAAAATTCAGCAAAGCGCATTAATTAGAATGATTTTGTGAAAAGCGGGGGTTTATTTTCCGCGAATTAATTTTGTTGAAAATGTATGATTTATTTGATATTATTATTTGAAGCATTTTTGTTGGAAAATCGCTGTTTGAAATGCGAACTGGAATCGGGTTTTCCAAGTAAAATACGAATTATTTATACAAAAAAAAAATCGGACAAAGCGAAAGGAAAATACGGATTGAGAGAGAAGGTGAGGATGTAAACAGAGTAGAAAAAAGGAAGGGAACAAAACGTAACGTGTCAGAAACATATAAACGTGTTTTCCAGCAGAAAAATTCCAAACAATTGCAACGAAATTCAAAGTCTAGAGGAAAACGGATCGATTTTCTCCAATCCCGGAGTAGACACGCGAAATTAAAATGCGAATATACTTAAAAAAAAATCATTATAAAAATTAAAAAAAATAAGGAAACACGTTGTGTTTTTTTACTTCCATTTCGAGAGCTTACAAGATTTACAGATTTAGCTTTCGTTTTCATTAAGTATAATCTAATTAGCTTAGTTATTATCGAGTAATTAAATAAGACGTGTACAAATTTATAAAAAGTCTCATATCTCAATCATTAATTATCATTACGTAACAATTAATATATCAAAAGATGCGTATAAGAAGGCTACTTATTATATAAATAAAAAATGTATAAAAACATTGTTTGATTATTCTGTAAATTTGAAACAAAACGTTTTTGACATTTTTGTTTAATATGAAACTTTACCAACTTATAACAATATATATATACATTATACAAATCTCGTAATAGATTCATTTGAAAGAATAGAGTTTTAGCTTTAATTGGTATTAACTATAACTTAATTAGACTTTGTAGTTATCATATAATTAAATAAAACGTGAAGACGTGTACAAAATTATAAAAAAGTCTCATATTTCAATCATTAATTACAATTACATAACAATTATTGTATCAAAAGATGCGTATAAGAAGGCTACTTATTAAACAAAAAAAGTAAACTTGAAACAAAACGTTTTTGAAATTCTTGTTTAATATGAAACTTTTCAACTTATAACAATATATATAAACATTCAACAAATCTCGTAAAAGATTCATTTGAAAGGATAGAGTTTTTGCTTTAATTGGTATTAATTATAACTTAGTTAGACTTGACAGTTGTCGAGTAATTCAATAAAATTTAAAAGCATACAAAAAACGTTATAAATTAATCATGAAAAGATTCATTTAAAAGGTTGTATTTGTAGCTGAACCACTATCATTTCCAATGAATCATTTCGAGAGCTTACAAGTTTTTCAGATTTAGCTTTCGTTTTCATTATGTATAATCTAATTAGCTTAGTCATTATAGAGTAATTAAATAAGACGTGTACAAACTTATAAAAATATTTCATATTTCGATAATTAACTATCATTGTGTAAAAAATATTATATCAAAAGATGCGTATAAGAAGGCTACTTATTACTACTTATTATATCAAATACGTTTATATCCAAGATTATTCATAAACGTTTCTTAACTTAAAAAGTAATTGTATGTAATAATTTGGTAAAGTTAAACTATCAAAAATGTTTGTATTTAAGATTTTTCAAAAATGTTTCTTAACTTAACCAGTGATAAAATTGTGTGTAATAATGAGAAATAAATAGATGAGATCTTGTTTGTTTGATTCCAAATTAGACATGCGCTCAATTTGGAATCGAATTAAGGACACGTTACATTTCTATTTTCTATTTGATGAATTGAATTCTCCAGCGTGAAATCAGTATCTCGAATGTACTTGATCATTACTTATTGGATCAAAAACTCTCTTTTTCACTTTACTTCTTTCATTTATTATAACAAAAAATAAACATAAGTACAATTGAAACTTAAATGAAATTAAAAAAATAATTGAAAAAGAAAATTAAATTCTTCAGTAGTGAAAATAAAAATTACAAATAACAATAAATTGTCTTCCAATTGCAATTAATGATATTTTCTTATGCTAAATTAATCAAAAAAAAAAACTTTGAATTAACTAATGAAGAATTTTTCGTTTATTTTATTTATAAATTAACACAAAATTAATTAGAAATTAATTTTCAAATACAAAAGTTTCATCAATGAAATTTTCATAATTGATTACATATTAATTTCATTTTCAAATACATTTTTGAACTTTAAATAAATTATTTGCTTTAATTGCAAGACGTGTTGAACAAATTTATAATTTTCCAAATAAAATAAACGAAATTTCTTAAATTTTCTTCTCAATTCATGATATTTTCTTATTAATTACTAAATTACTGTAGAAACTTTGAATTAATGAATGAAGAATGAAAAATTTCGTTAATTTTATTTGGAAAATTACAAATTTATTTGAAAGTAATACAAAATTACAAATTTATTTTCAAATACAAAAGTTTCATCAATGAAATTTTCATAATTGTTTACATATTCATTTCATTTTCAAATACATTTGTAAACTTTTAATAAATTAAAGCAAATGCAAGACGTGTTGAACAAATTTCTAATTTTTCAAATAAAATAAACAAAATTTCATAAATTTTCTTCTCAATTCATGATATTTTTTATTAATGACTAAATTACTGTAGAAACTTTGAATTAATGAATGAAAAATGAGAAATTTTGTATATTTTGTTTGGAAAATTATAAATTTGTTTTAAAGTAAGACAAAATTCATTACAAATTAATTTTCAAGTACAAAAGTTTCATCAATGAAATTTTCATAATTGTTTACATATTAATTTCATTTTCAAATATATTTGTCAACTTTAAATAAATTAAAGCAAATGCAAGACGTGTTGAACAAATTTATAATATAAATGAAATTTTCATACTTGATTACATATTCATTTCATTTTCAAATAAATTTGTGAACTTTAAATAAATTAAAGATATTTTTTTGAACAAATTTAAAACAAAAATTAGAAATAAATTTTGAAATAAAATCAAAATCGTAATAAAAGTTAATTATAAAAACTGATAAATACAAAATTGGAATTTTAATTACAAATTGTTTTATCGGAAACTAAACTGTTGAAGTTGTAATAATTTCAATATTATTAGCATCAAATTACAGACATTTGCTGTCTCACTAAAAAAGTATAAAAATTTCTATTTTTTTAAGTTTTTGAAGAATTAGAAGAAGTTAAATATTACTGTTATTACAAAAATATCAAAGATTTTACTTCAATTTTTGATCTTTAAAGATTGTTCAATTTGAGTGGAAAACAAAAATTTGAGCATATTTTATTTAAATTTACTAAAATATAGTTAAAATAGACAAAGTTTGAATAATTTATGCATTTGCTACAATGTTTTTATAGATTTCTATTAAAAACGTCTTATTTTCATTATGTAATTAAGAAAAATGTTAGAAGATAATTAATACAAACTAAGTAAGTCTATTAAATTACAAAGGATTGAAGCTATGAATAAACGGTTTTCATTATATTTCGGAGCAGAACACGAAGAAGCAACGGCAAAATCGAAAGAAATAAAAATAGATGCAGTGAACTTACAAGAAACTTAAGTTGTTTGTCGGTTTTCAGGTTGGAAAAGGAAGTGTTTTGCATCGCGTCGCAGCTCTAATTAACTTATTATTATTACATCTACCTCCCGACTAATTGCATTAATTATTTAGTTTGCTCTGCGCATCGAATGCAATCCAATTAAGCCCGTTCTGCTTTAAGATACGTGCATGTGCAAAACTCAAGCAATCAACTAAAGTGCATATCTATATATACATTTAATACTAATACCACTAGAACGAAATCGCTTCATCTTCCGACCTTGACTTGACAAAAAGAAAACAAATGTTAAGAACCGGTGCATGCTCCTAAAACTAACTGTACAAAATCTATTCAAATCGCTTCTTTTTTGATGCTTTGTTAAAGATATGATGATTCTGCACAGGTGAAGACTGTTCGATGGTCGGAGATGCACTGAGCAGTTTGGGGGATGTCGAAAACCGTTCACTCAGAAAACGGATGCGGATAATTAGATGTAGGGGCAAAACGAAAGGCAGCTCAATTCGCAGCAGCTTAATAGATTACATTAAAGTCCTCTTTCTTCTGCTGACCGTAACCTGCTCCAGTTTGTGGCTTCTCAAAAAAAAAAATGAACAGAAGAAAGAACCGCCGGACAACGAGGAGGAAGAAAACGATCTTGTTGTTTTTTTTTTGTAGCTTGTTTCATTTGTTCTTGTTGCTATTGCTGCTTGATTTTGAATTACCATCACCAATGTTACCAAGCAATAATCGCACTTCTGGTCTTCTGGTTTAAAGCAATGAGGTCGCCTAAACATATTTGTTATAATTATACTACACGTCTCGCTCTTCTTATCCTTGTGCTCTTCTATCCTAACCAGAAGAGTTTCCTCCTCGTCGGCGCTTCGTTGCACGCATTGCTTCCTCCTTGTTCATCCTTTTATATTTTTTTTTGCTTCTGTTCTTCAACACGTCTTGCATTTCAGAGATGTGCTCCATTAATCTGCTTTAATGGATTCAGCGATAGTTCTGGGTGTTTGTAATATAAAAGCGGACATCAGCGACGAGGAGATGCATTCCAAATCCGTCCATCAAACGGCGAACAATCCACCAATACAGAAGCAAATCTATTCGCAATGTCTGGTATTAAGAGTCTGAGCCTTTTGGTCTTCGTCGTGGCTGCGGTTGTTAACGCCGCTCCAGAGGCTGCAGATATGTCGCACGGTGTGCAGATCATGGGGAAGATCTTGAGGCAGTATTTGGAGGCGCAACCAGAGGATCTGAGGTTAGGGGATGGAGTTCATCTGGTTAGTACGGGAAGCGAGAACGATGCTCGTGCCAATACCGATGACGGTACCGTCTTGGGAGCTGTGGAGAATTACCTGCAGAACCATGAGCTCAGGATCAAGTTGCCTGAGCTGATGCCAGGCGAAGGATTCGGAAGGACTTTCAAGGATGCCATGGAAGGATTCGATAGCTCCGCCACCGGTAAGAATCTCAACATTTTTATACAATTTTCAATATTTTTACAACAAAAAAATACATTTTAGTAAGAAAAAAATCATCAATTTTCAATAAATAATTTTAAATTTCTTAAACATTTTTGCATAAGAAAAAAATACACAAATCATTTAGTATATACATCTTATTTATGTGTTACATTTTTATTAAAAATTAACAAAGAAAAATTAAAAATTTTCATTTTATGACAAAATCTTTCATTCAAATTCTTATATGAAAAAAGAAATAAATGTTTCTGTCATTTATCAAAAAATTTCAATATTTTATTGAATTATGACTTATGAACTTTCATCATTAGAAAATAAAATTTGGTACGTTAATTCGATCATAAAAAACGTTAATCCGACAAAAAAATCAGGAAAATCTACATATTTTTCATAATTAACTCGTTGGTTTAAAATATTATTGAAATTATTGAAAGTTTACACGTTTTTCTTATTTTATGTAAAAATTCTAATTACAAACGTGTTAAAACTTTTTTTAATTATAAACATTTTTATTGTAAATATTTCATAATAATTTTGTTTGCTTTCAAAGATAAAGTTTATAAAAATTATTAGGAAAATGAATTGATAAAAATATTTATTATAATTCAAAAATATTCAAAGAAAATTTCAAAATTTCATTCATAATGATAAAATCTTACGATTTGTGCACTATTTTTGAATCTACTATAAGAGATAAACAAATTTTTATTGAAGAAATACTCAAATATTAACAAAATTTTATTCATTGGTTTTAATTATAAAAAAAACAATTTTCATTACATTTTAACAAATTAAAAAAAAAACAAATTATAATCAATTAAATACTTTACAAAACAATAATTTTGTAAAATTTATTTATTCTTTATTTCAATTTGAGAAAAAAAGTTATTAAATTTTATAAATCATCCGAGAAAGATGTATTATCAAAAAATTTACTTAATGAAGACATAACATTTCCAAATTCATGAGACTCAAAAACAATTAGTCAAAATCGATTTAGTTTATAGAAGAAAAAAAAAATGAAATAATGAAGTTTGTAATAAAAAAAATTGTTACAGTTTATAATTGTTTCAATTATATGTGTATATCTAAAAGAGAGAACAGAATTAAAAGTGAATTAAAGTTTTTAAATCGTTGATTTCGATCATATAATTACGCTCGCTACAACTGAAAATTACAGTTGTAATTTTTTTTCTCAATCATTATACAACGAAGAGTGTAAATTTTATCTTCTCTTTTTATATCGACTTTTGCTTCGAGGCGTTTAATTATCACCACGAAAAAAAAACACCGTTTTTCTACTTTTGTTAATTATTGTAATTACTAATCCGCGCATTTCATTGGTCAGAATTGGCGCGCCCCGTTTGTGGCGGGAGATTCGAGCGCTTTAAATACCGCAGACGTTTCACAAAACACAGCAGAAACTTTATAGAAATCTTACAGAAAACATATGGATTGGTTTATAGTTTAAATTATTTCTTTCAGACAAAAAAATATCATATTTTATTTTTTCAATTTTGTAGAACATTAACAAATTTATATGTAGAAATTATCACAACAAAAAATTCAATTACAAAATGGATTTATTTAAATTTCAATTAAAGAAGAGAAAAATTTCACTTGTGATATTTTGGAAAATACAAATTTTATAAATCTTCTTAAACAAATGTAAAATTCAATTTTTTTTAACGATTCAAAGAGACAAAAAAACATCTAAATTTTGTTTAAAAAGTGTGAAAATTGTAAAGAAAAAAATAATTGGAAAATTTGCCGTAATTAATTAATTGATTATTAAGAAACTAGATGGCAGCAGTTGCATAAAATTATATAAAAAAAATTAAAAAAAAAACAAATTCTAAACTAAACCAATTAATTAATAAAAAACAAAAAAACATTTATTTTTAGTAATTAATTTAAAAACACCGTGTAGGAAGTGTGATGACATTGAGATTGGGTTTATTTTTAGAACTAGAATCAAAAAAATCGGGTCTTCGAACGGTAAATTATGTTTCATATATTTATTTCCTTCATGCACACACGATTCTCTCTATTAATTTTTAATTAAAACTGACACGAAAAAGTGGAGTTGATGAAGGAAAAAAGAACACAAATAGCTTTCGGCTGCTGCCAAATAAGAGAGATGATGACCTGCGGTCATCTCCCCCAGTAAATGAAGAAAAAAAAACGTAAAGAAAGAAAGAGAGAAGATAAAAGTGTAAGGAAAAAAGATGAAAGATGTAGAAGGAACAGCTTTCTAAAAGTTGCAGTGGATTAAAAGGCGATCATTAATAATTGAAACGCTTCTCTTTCTTCTCCTATCTGGGATCGTTTATCAGGTGGAGTGCATGTAACAACGCGTGTATCTCTTCTTTTTTTCTTGTCTTTCATCTTCTTGTACTTCTTTTCCACGTGGATCCGATCAAGAGGATTCGGATCTGTTAGAAAGTTTTTCTTTTACCCCACATTTGGTGGAAGCCTTGATCTTGATTCCTACAGTGGATTCTTTGGTATTAATGTAATAATGAGGATAAAAATTAAGTAGAAACCATTACCGCTCGATTTCACGTCGCTACAAACCTGTTGCTCTGCTTCTCCACTCTAACAGCAGGTGGAGCATACATAATTTTTTAACTTCTTCAATAATCCAAGAACAATATTTCATATTTTTACCAACAATTTGTTAATTTTTAAAGCATCAAAATAATTTATACAAAATCTATAGTTTTATCAATAACTAATTAAAACAATCGCTAAATTCAATATCTCTAAAATAAACTATTTTTTTTGTATGATTTACAAATGTTCTAAAATTACGTGAATTTAAGTATGAAAATTAAAATTTTGTTTAATAATTCGTACAAGAATTTACATAGATTCTAAAAGACAAAATATGTAAACACTTTGAACTTCTGAAACTATTACGTGAAATTAAGCATTAAATTACAGAAAATCTAATATTAACTCAGAATTACTCATTTTACTCTTGATTTAACTCTAATCTAAAAATAAGTCACAAATTACTACTTTCAATACAAAAATAGAAAAAAATATTATTCAAAACTCAATAAGACAACAATAAAGTGAAATTTCCAAAAAAAATCTATAATTTTCTATATTTTTTTTTAAAAAATTTACAAAAATTGTAATAAAATAAATTATTTTTTCTTAAACTTCTTTTATTAACATAAATTGTTACTGACTATTTTTTTTTGTATTGTTTTTAAAGATTTTTAAGTCTAAATATTTCTTTTATCTATACTATATGCAAATTACTTCATAGTTAAGAAAATCATAACGTTTTGTTTATGTATTTATTTACTTAACAAAATTTGTATCCATATTTTCATACACTTTTAGTTTATACTTTAACTTGTGATTAGATGATTTTGTTGTGTAATTATTAAAGATGAGATTAATGCATTTCTATTTACCAATAACATTTTGTGATTCGTAATTTTATCTAATGATTTTTTAATAATTATTGAAAACTATATGAATTAATTCTAATTCTTATTAATGAAGATAATATTATCAAATTGTTACTTACCAATCAGATCTTATGATTTGAAAAATTTTGTCTAATTATTCAATATAAGATTAATTAAATGTTATCTTGTGATTGGTAATGTTATCTAATGATTTTTTTATAATTATCGAAAATATAATTACTAAATAAGATTAGCTAAATGTTACTTACCAATAAGATTCTGTGATTAAGAAGATGTTGTTGTGTAATTAATGAAGATGAGATTAACTAATTGTTATTTACCAATTAGATCTTGTGATTCTCAATTGAATTGAATCTAATGATTTTTTTTTATAATTATCAAATATCCGATTAACTAAGTAGTCACTAATGAATATCAGATTAACTAATTGTTACTTAGCAATGATATTCTGTGAGAAGATGTTGTCTAATTATTGAAGATGAGATTAACTAAATATTACTTAGAAATAAGATCTAGTTATTACAGCTGGTGTGATTAATAAGATATTATCTAATTATTGAAGATGAAACTTACCAATCAATACAAAAATCTTGTGATAAATAATGATGATGAATGATTAAAATGTTGTCTTCTCGTTTCAGGAACTGCCAGAGGAAAGGGCGGTAAAGGAGGTATGGGTGGAATCATGATCATGGGTTTGATGATGGGAAAGATGATGGCCGCTTTGGGTCTCGGCGGTGTCGGTCTCTTAGCCATGAAAGCATTGATGGTCTCCGCTTTAGCTCTGATGCTCTCCATGGTCATCGGCCTCAAGAAATTGGTTTCCTCCGAGCACGACGACGGCGGACACACCGTGATCCACGCCTCCCACGGACACGACCATCACAGGAGGAAGCGCGAAGCCACAGACATGGCCTACCAAGGATGGGCCGACCAACAAAGCTAAACAACAACACCAAAAAACCCATTATTTTTTTGGAGCAAATTAATCTATAATATTTATTTATTTATTTAAATTAATTGAAACCAATGCAGTCCGCAGTTACAAGGACCGTCTTTACCAACAATAGTTATCATCATTCTATCAATCTTCATCTGTCTTCCAATACTTATTCTCTTCTCTTTCACACGAAACACTATTTTCTTCTTCTATTAATTATTAGTTTAGATATGTTATTTATTTTTTTCTTCCCAAGCTCTAATCTTTGTAAATGTAAATACAAGAAAAAGAAATGCAATTAAAAAGGAGAAATAAAGAATAATTTATAACGCCGAGATCCGTGTGTGTTTGTTTATTTGTTTGTTTACGTGCTCATTTTTCTTTCTTCAATTTAAAATTGTGATTGCGTTGACCCAGTGATGCTCGAAGAGCATCGATTTTCTCTTCCTTATGTATGTTATACCTCTCCACCTCTACGATTCATTTAGTTTATTTTTTTTAATGAATTTTCCATCCTCCGCTTCCTCTTCTTCTGTCTCTGATCCTTCTCTCGTCTTTCTCCGGCGCGGAATAGTTAAAAATGAGAAAGCTGGTATCAAGTTCGTTACCTAGAAATACACTGACCCAGTTTCCGAGAGACTGGTTTCACGAGGAAGTCGCGCCGTCGTTGACCATGGCCTTTGAGGAAGAGGAGGAGCAGAAGAGTGGATGTAGAGGAATGCGCTCGAGGCGGATGAAAGCCGTTCGAGGAGAAGAAATGGTAATTGTAGTGGTGGTGGTGGTGGAAAGAAGTAGAAGAAAGTGTTAAACAGAACCAGGTCAGAGCGTAAACAAAAACAGGAACCGATTCATTCTAAATTCGATTGCGAGGGAAGATTGGATCGATGCGAGATTGAAAGATCGTAATTAAGAGATGATGATGATAATGATGGTTATAGTAACATTGGGTCATTGGTTTTTTTTTTGTAGCAATTTGTGAGGCACCTGCTGCTCTCTGGTTGTTCGGTGGACGGACGGAGCGTTTCTGCCGGTCGTTGGAGACTCATTGCTGGCTTTATAAGGATATGAAGAAGACCCGGAGACCCAGATTCGTGAATTGTCGCGGTCGACGGAGAGATGGAGTTGCTGGATGAATCAAGGACGAAGAAATTGGAGGAGAAACGAAGAGATTGAAAGAAAGAGACGTTGAGATTGAAACAGAGTGATGTTGAGATCCTGGGAACTAGTTTTCCTCCGGTTCGATGAGAGCATTGGGAAAAGGAAGCAGGGCGACATGTGCTTAAGTGTTCCGATCCTTAATTTCCGCAACTAGGCTTTGGAAATTTACCATATGTCATGATGGTTGGTGTTTGTGCGCGCCAGAAGACGCGAGAGGAGAGCCATTCATTAATGAAAGACGTGCAGCCGCCGCCGCAGCCGCAGCCGCCGCCTTTCGACACGATTCCCAAATGGTTCGTTAATAATCGACTAATTGCTTTGCAGTTAATTGACCTCAGTCTTCATCATATTTCAATATAATCATTATTTCTAGATATATTACAGCAATATACATCTCATGGAATAATACAATAATTCCTTTGTTTTCAAGACATTTTAGATTATCAAATTTATATTGTTTCAGTTGCTGACACATCCAATAACTACATTCCATAAGATACAATATACTTATCACCAATTCAAGTAGCATCATCTGCAGGTGTTGCTTAACTTTTATAAGATATCATATAGGAAGTAACTGATTGATAGACTGATTGGATAGAATATATCCAAATCACTAATCAGAGAACTAATCTTTTACAGATGTTGCTTAACTTTTATAAAATGTCCAATAGGATGAAACTGATATCAACTGATGTACTCGAAGCTAGAATATAAAGAAACCACCAATCACAGTATTGATTTCAACATCTGTTGCTTAACTTTGTAAAATAAATTGAAATGTTATCATTTCAAGTAGCATCCTTTACAAGTGTTGCTTAACTTTTATAAGATGTCATATAAGAGTAAGCTGATTGATACCAACTGCTTTACTTGAAGATATAATATATCCAAATCACCAATCAGAGTATTAATTTCAATATATGTTGACAAATTCACCACTTCAAATGGAATCTTTGACAGGTGTTGCTTAACTTTTATAGGATGTCCAATAGGATGAAACTGATATCAACCATTGTATTCGAAGCTAGAATATAACGAAACCATCAATCACAGTATTGATTTTAACATGTGTTGCTTAACTTTGTAAAATAAATTGAAATGTTACCATTTTAAGTAGCATACTTTACAGGTGTTGCTTAACTTTTATAAGATGTCAAATAAGAGGAAGCTGATTGATACCAACTGATGTACTCGAAGATAGAATATATCCAAATTACCAATCAGAGTATTAATTTCAACATATGTTGACAAATTCACCACTTCAAGTGGAATCTTTTACAGGTGTTGCTTAACTTTTATAAGATGTCCAATAGGATGAAACTGATTGATATTAACTGATGTACTCGAAGCTAGAATATAACAAAATCACCAATCACAGTATTGATTTCAACATGTGTTGCTTAATTTTGTAAAATAAATTGAAATGTTACCATTTTAAGTAGCACATTTAACATGTGTTGCTTAACTTTTATAAGATGTCAAATAAGAGGAAGCTGATTGATACCAACTGCTGTACTTGAAGATAGAATATATCCAAATTACCAATCAGAGTATTAATTTCAACATATGTTGACAAATTCACCACTTCAAGTGGAATCTTTTACAGATGTTGCTTAACTTTTATAAGATGTCCAATAGCATGAAACTTATTGATATCAACTGATGTACTCGAAACTAGAATATAACGAAACCACCAATCACAGTATTGATTTCAACATGTGTTGCTTAACTTTGTAAAATAAATTGAAATATTACCATTTCAAGTAGCATCCTTTACAGGTGTTGATTAACTTTTATAAGATGTCAAATAGGAGGAAACTGATTGATACCAACTGCAGTACTTGAAGATAGAATATATCCAAATCACCAATCAGAGTATTCATTTCAACATATGTTGACAAATTCACCACTTCAAATAGAATCTTTTACAGGTTTTGCTTAACTTTTATAAGATATCCAATATGATGAAACTGATTGAAATCATCTTATGTACTCGAAACTAGAATATAAGGAAACCATCAATAATAGTATTGATTTCAACATGTATTGCTTAACTTTGTAAAATAAATTGAAATGTTACCATTTCAAGTAGCATCCTTTACAAGTGTTGCTTAACTTTTATAAGATGTCAAATATAAAGTACCTGAAGACCTGTCACTAATTTAAATACTATCACTGCCAACTACCATTCTTTGAGATATCACCAATTCGAGTAATTATACTTAACTTTTCTTTATTAATTGAACTTTTACTAAACATAAAGTATCTGATTTATACCAACTTCTTTACTTTATGATAGAATCAATACTAAATTAAATTGTCACCAATTAATGGAAGCATCTTACACCGATATTGCTTAACTTTTCTAAGATGTTAAACCTAAAGTACCTGAAAAACTGTCACCAATTCAAGTACTATCCACTGTAAATAATGCTGTACTTTCAACAACTATATACCGGCTATTCTTTGAGATTTCACTAATTCAAGTAATTATGCTTAACTTTTCTTTATTAATTGAACTTCTACTTAATTAAGATTATATTATAAATATAAATGTGTTAATGAATATTCAATAATAAATTAATTAACATTTGTTAATTGACTATTGTGAATATTCATTGTGAAGTAATAATTTATGAATGAAATTTCGTTAACTTTTTTTATGCATTTACATAGTTTTTCGTACAAATCATTCTTTCTTTCTATATCGTAAAAACGTATTAAGTTTTCATAAATCTCTCGAATATGAATGCTTAAGTAGTAATTTATGAATGTAGGTTTGGAATGTTCAGTATTTCTAACTGTGAATTGGGTTTCATACACATCGTCATACAATTTACATCCTTATTTATGGATTTAAACGGATTTACATTTATATATACTTTTACATATTACATTTTTTAATTAACATCGAGTAATTAACAAAAACATTGTTTGAAAAAAAAAGAAATAGAAAATGTTCAATATCTCAGTTATTTATTAACTCTAAGTAACAGTTATTATATAAAAAGATGCGCAATTAAAGTCTGTTTGTTATGTTAATCAAGATATGTATTAACAGTTTTATCATTAATCTGTAAAATAAAAAATAATAAAATTAGTGAAAATTTAACAAAAATTGAAAAATCGTTATATCTTTGTTATTAATTTACGTTACTTAATAATTATTGTATCAGAAGATGCACAATTGATGATACTTTCTTATGTAATCATCATTTATTTAAAAAACTTCTATAATTAATCTGTAAAATAATAATGATTTAAAATTTAATGATAAAAAAATAATTTAAAAAAATCGAAAGAAAAAATAAAAAATATGAAAAATAAAATTGATTTTTTTTTAAATTTTTATTAATACTTAATATTACTTACAATTAATATAAATCATAAAAAATATAAAGCAACAAAATTACGTAATTATATAAAAAAAAACTATAATAAATTTGTTTTTAATTTTATTGTGAAAATAAACATGATGTATTAATTATAAATAAATGTAATTTTTTGATATAAACTAATTTAATTATTGATAATGTAAAAATACTTGATTTGAATAAAAAGTAGTGAGATTTATTCCGTGAAGCACGCAACCAACAATACTTTGAGGTTTGGTTGGTACACTTTCAAATTGATGCAAATTTCTGTTCCAAATTTACTTCAATTTCGGTAAATTACGACTAAAATTATGAATAAATTACTCTTAATTAGTAATAAATAAATTAAGATCAATTATTTTGTTATAATTAAATTAATTACTTGTTGATTATTGTGAAAATATGATTAAAATCTGAAAATTAATATGATTTGCTGACTCTTTTTTTGATGATTAAAAAAAATTTAATGAA